ACGAACAATGTCATCCATTAGCGAGCGTAGATCATCCATGTTGCTGCTCTGCAGCAAAGACACCACAACAACAACAACAGCAGCAGCAGCAGCAGCAGCAGCAGCAGCAGCAGCAGCGTATAAACCCCACACTTTACAGGTTCCTACCCTCCGTTCCTCCAACAGCTCTCCCTCAAACAGCAACAGCAGCAGCAGCAGCAGCAGCAGCAGCAGCAGCAGCAGCAGCAGCAGCAGCACTTGTACCTGGTGCAGCCTCTCCCTCCATGTTGTATATTTATACAGTATAGGATGTAAGCAACGGAAGAGATGGGCCTTCGCGCTGCTGCTGCTGCTAGGTGCATATACACCGCAAATATTCATATAACGATTCATTAAGTTTACTCTTTCTTTATCTGTTAATTTGCTGCTGCTGCTGCTGCTGTTGCTGTTGCTGCTGCCATTCGTACTGCTGCTGCTGCTGCTGCTGTCTATAGATAGGTCTATGTCTGTAGGGAATCCACGCAGCAAGCGCAAGAATGGCTGCTGCAGAGGTACAGTTTGCTGCTGCAGTGCTGCTTGCTGCAGCAGCGCAGCAGCACCAGAGAAAAGAGACGGATTATCCAGCAGTCCCTCTGCTGCCATCACCGCATCCGCCCTAAGAAAAAGGAGACAATAAAAGGAGACAGGAAAAGGAGACAGGAAAAGGAGACAGGAAAAGGAGACAATAAAAGGAGTCACTTATTATACTATATATACTCCATAGCATAAATACAAAGTGTCCTGCTGCTGCTGCTGCAGCAGCAGCAGCAGCAGCAGCGACAGTACCAAGCCCATGGAGGACTCCAGAGCAGCAAAAAACAGGGACGCAGCAGCAGAAAGCAGCAGCAGCAGCAATAGCTTAAGTACTAGTAAGAAGCAGCAGCAGCAACAGCAGCAGCAGCAGCAGCAGCAGGAGCAGGAGCAGGAGGCCTACCCAGTAACAAGGAGACACCTGACGGCATCTTCTTTTGTCTCTATCCCTCCATTAGCTATTACTAATAACAACACATACACACAATAATACACTAATATACAACTTAATGCAGCAGCAGCAGCAGCAGCAACAGCAACAGCTGCAACAGCAGCAACAGCAGCAGGAAGAGCAACAGCAAGAAGAGCACAACAAAGGTATAAACACATCCAAAGCAGCAGCAACAACAACCACAGCAGCAGCACAACCACCACCACTACCAGCAGCAACAGCAGCAGCAGCAACGGCAGCAGCAGCAGCAGCAGCAGCAGCATTACCTGGTATATTAATACTATGTTTAACTCTATGAATAATTCCCCAATCTGCTGCTGCAGTTAGTCTCCCTTTTTCTTGTTTTGTTCGTGCATGCAGAGTTATTGCTGCTGCTCCTGCTGCCTCTAATGCATAACATAGCAGCAGCGTGTCTTGGCATGTCTTATCTAAGTGCTGCTCTGCTGCAGCAGCAGCAGCAGCAGCAGGACATGCAGCAGCAGATGCTGCAGTACGCAATTCCTCGTCTGTAGGCAGAAAATAACACCATAAACCCTAAACCCTAAACCCTAAACCCTAAATCTTCAAACCCTAACGGATAAATATACAAAAGAGACACCATAAAGAAGGCATTCCTTCCGCCCTAAAAAGTAACTAGGGTTTAGGGTTTAGGGTTTATGATTAAGGTTTAAGATTAAGAGTTAGTGTATAAGATTAGGGTTTACGATTAGGGTTTAGGGTTTAGGGTTTAGGGTTTAGGGTTTACATTGTGTATTATTAGTAGCAGTCAATACTTTACGTATTTTGCATGTAACAGGGATTGATAAACTTTTATGCATTGCAGATACCATTGACCTAAATAGACACATAAACCCTAAACCCTAAACCCTAAACCCTAAACCCTAAACCCTAGGGGTAAACCCTAAACCCTAAAGACTAAACACTAAAAATTAAACACTAAAAAGGCAGAGGTGCTGCTGTTTTAAGGGAGAAAAGGGAGAGATTATGACGGGTAGGAGACAAAAAGGAGACAGAGGGAGAGAAGAAGGGTTTAGGGTTTAGGGTTTAGCTCATTAAACCCTAAAAAAAGGAGACAATTAGGGTTTATAATTTCTTACAAGATTAATTGGGGTTCATCTAATAAATATGCACCATAAAACCCTCGACGGGCTATACCCTAATCAGGAGACAAAAAGGAGACAAAAAAGGAGACAAAAAAGGAGACAAACAAGGAGATATTTTTATTCGTTAAAAAGGGACAAAAAGGAGACAAAAAGGAGACAAAAAGGAGATAGAAAGGAGACACAAAAGGAGACAAAAGGGAGAAAAAAAGGAGACACAAAAGGAGACAAACGGGAGACAAAAAGGAGACACAAAAGGAGACACAAGGGAGACAAAAAGGAGACACAAAAGGAGACACAAGGGAGACAAAAAGGAGACACAAAAGGAGACACAAAAGGAGACACAAAAGGAGACACAAAAGGAGACACAAAAGGAGACACAAAAGGAGACACAAAAGGA